TTCGGAGAGTTCGGGTGGACCCCAGCTATCTGGGTCGTGTTCGTGTTCGTGTTCTGGCTGCTGCGGTTGCGGTTGACTAGCACCCCAGCTCGAACCTAACGGATCAAACAACTCATCCAGCACCTCTTTCCTATTTCTCTCCGATGCATCCTTAGCCTCTTTCACGAACTGATCAAAGAAAGACAAGGTCGAGCTTTCGCATGTCCTAATCCTTGTCCCCCCCTGGCTTTGACCTTGACCTTCACCAAACGAGAAATCCGCATTTACATCCGCCAACGGATCTTCCGAAGCAGGCACAGACACGAACGCTCCAAACTCCGAGTCGGGGGTGCTAGGTTCCCAGTGCTGCTGTTGTGTTGAAGGGGGAGGGCGCGACGGTGCTGGTGTCTTCCATATACTGTCTCCGTCTGCGTCGTTAATTTCACGGGTAGGCGAAGCACGAGGTGTGGGCGGTGAGAAGAGAAGAAGAGAGTAGCGAATTTGTCGATCATTTACTCGTTGAGGTTCTTCTCCTGTGGCTTTGAGGCGGAGGCGGGGGCGGGGATGAGAGGTGGTATTGGTATAGAGCTCATTCTGATGTTGGTGGTGGTACTGTGCAAACTAGTTAGTTCTTTTGAGGCCGTGTTGAGTATTGGAGACAACGCACCAGTGGAGGTACACGTTTTATACACGTTGTTCCACAAGGATCATAAAGTTCCGAAACAGATAGATGGAGTTTCCGAACTCCTGCGGAATCCAGGTAGTGTAGAAACATCAGAACTCGTACTATTACAGTCAACAGAGGATTCAAAAACGCACCAATAAACGACCTTCAAGGTCCAAAACCCCACAGAGCTTTCTCGTTTCAACAAGGTCCTCGTAAAGAGACCAATAGCAAAAGGTCGTCAATATCGTGTGCAGGGATCTAAACGACGACAAAAAGTTCGTTCAACATGAACAACCCAGATAGGCAATTCAATGCGTACCTGCTTAAACGCCAGATCCAGATCCCAATACTAGGTGCTCGTCGTCGTCGTCGCGGACGATGAGCAAGCGGACGATGAGCAAGCCGTCGATGATGACAATGACTCTGTGCTGACAAATCATAGTTAGTCCTCGTGGACCCCCCGGGTGTCGCGGGCCGTCCGTCCCACCCCTGGATGAGTTCGGTCGGGAGAAAAGCGCGTTTGGTTTCTCGTATCTCGAACATCCAGTCGTTTGTGAGTTAGAGGCGTATGTATGTATGTACACTGACAGAAGTAAACCGTACGAGCTAGTTGAGGCTATTGAATATTACCCACTTTTTAACTCCGTTATGGTGTAGTGGCTAACATTATCGCCTCTCATACGCTGGTATAGAGTTACGCGATAGCCCAGGGTTCGATTCCCTGTAACGGAACTAGGGTCGAAGAACTGACATATTTTTTTCTTTTTCTTCTTCTGAGGCCGGGAGACGTTTAGCATCACCGTACTCATATTTTTTTTGGGTACGAAACTTAATGTTGAAGCCATGTCTGGCGAAGTACTCTGTCATGACTGGGCAACGTATCTTCCCGATTCCTTAAACATTAAAGATCTCTTCTAATGTTCCGCTCGATTGCTTTCCTTCAGATTCATGTGCATTGTAGCCCCATTCCCCCGTCTTGCATATTGATCCAGCAAGAACGAAGATCACAACTCGCAAACATCACTCATGACCACAACCCTCCCAGCTTCCTGTCTTTGCCGTCGCCATTCTTCAGGTCGGGTAAATCTCTCGCGTGAGGACTGGGCCCCTCCTACTATTATTCCCTACGTTCCTCAACCACTCACCTACACACACACCTAATGATCAGAAAAACACCAGCCGCAGAGCCAAGGTCGACTCTCACCGCATCGGCGGGCAATCGCAGCAGTAGCCGTCGGCACAAATTTACTTTCACCAAACCAGAGAGGAACGATACGTTTTTCATGTTCTGCACCCGCATCTACACCCGAGTTTCCCACATCGACGGTGTAGATGGATCGTTGTTCGGGAGCAAAACACACAGAACGTGTCGTTCCTCTTTGGTTTGGCGAGAGTAAACTGTGCCGACAGCTACTGCTACGACTGCCCATGCGATGGGAGTCGACCTTGGCATCGCTAATGCATTTCTAGTCACTAGGTGTGTGTAGGTGAGTGGTCGAGGAACGTGGGGAATTTTGTTATGGTGGGGGGGCCTTTTATATTCATCCTGGGCGCTTACAGGGAACGGAAGAACGGCAACGCCATCATTACTGTAGAATACGAAAACGAAGGTGAAAGAATTTACCTTTGTGCTGAGAACAAAGAAGAGCCCTGGGTCATTTTGACAGAGCCCTCCACAGCATATGTTTTTCTCATGAAACACATAGGGCGCAACAAAACTCCGCTCAAAGATTAAGCTGTGTTGTATACTCGTTATCGTCGAATGTTAATACCGATGGAAGGCGTTCACTCACCCGGAATAAGCGAGAAGGGCGCAAACGGTCGAGTAAATGAACTGAATAGTCTTGTAAAGGTACAGCACCGTCGTGGGTAGCACAGGACAACGTATATAAGTATAGGTGATAGGAGAACTTCGAGGTGAAAGGGACAGTACGTGAAAGGAATATGAAGAGCTGTTAAGGCGTGGTTAAAAGGTCGCCATGACGAGCTAGGTAACGTATCATAGATGTATAGCACAAGGGACAGGAAAAACTTGCAGCTACTTCGAGAAAAGGAAAGGAGAATAACGCTTATCCTTGAATTATAACAAGTAAAAAAAAATCACACGCCTACAGCTTCTTCCGGAACCGTCTTGGAACAAAGGCACTCAAGGGGGTGGGCTCTTCCCCGTCC